GAGAGAGAGAGAGAGAGAGAGAGAGAGAGAGAGAGAGAGAGAGAGAGAGAGTATGTATGAGCTGAAGCAGATGTACCGGTTTGTGCATTTGCGCTATTCTAATCATTATAATTCCAGACAATACTCAAAGGAATATCTGCAGTGTCACGTAATAAAAAGTCTATATTACGACTTAAACAAAGAAACACAGAGTAGGAGTCTGCAAACAGAAACTACGACTGTAAATTACATTAGGAGTGATATTAAGACAGCTGTTGGATAGAACAATTAAAAAAATAGGAACTCAAAAAATGTAAGCAAAAAGATCACCAGTGGGAGAAAGGACTGGTGTGATGAGATGTGCAGAAAACATGCAAACAGCTCAATCAGTGAAGTTCCGTGTCCAACCGACATATATATAAGTGACAGTTAATGTCTTCCTGTGCAGCTCAAGACAGACAACAAGGAGGCAAATGCAAAATGTAAATAGAAGCTAGTCACACATGTGTGAACTAAGATGAAAATTCATTAATTAAATGTATTATTTCAGATTATCTGCAAGCACTACATTTTTTTTTTTTATAATTAAAAAACAAACACACACACACACACACACACAAACACACGCACACGCACAGACGCACACGCACAGAGTAGAGAACAGGTCATACTTGACTCAGAGATAGACAAATCTTATAGGAGTCGAGAAAGACACTTAATATTTATATAAAGATGCTTTTTTATTCCTATATTATGTTGGGGATGGGTTGTTTTCTTTTCATTAAGAGATCAATAACTGTTTTATTTCAGACCTTCAGTGATTGTTTAATTTCAGTAAAAAGCAGCACATTGACACAAAAACAGTCCTTAAGAGCAAGGGAAAAAGTGAGACTGCCAAAACAGAAATTTGAAGAAGAGTACAGAAGTAGGACCTGCCGGTGACAATGTCCAACCATTCAATCAATAAAAAAGTAGGAAACATTAATCAAATGAAAACTACACAAGTACAAACATATAACCTTGCATATGGCTGACGCAGGGAAGACCACATCAATACAAAACAACTGAAGCCTACATACAGCAGCAGTATGAGCCCGCACCTCAGGCATGGGATAAAAAGCGTTAGATCTTTACTAAGAGCAAACTACAAACTGGCCCAGGGTTATACAAAAAGCATTGACCACAGTACAAACTAGGTGCATCCAGACTGGATATAAGTGGATTAACCAAAGAACTATAATATATATATATATATATATATATTATCTTAGAAAGCAAGCAATATGTTCCTGACTACAAACAATTAATAAAGTTAGTCAATAACTTAGCCGCAGCAAACCTAAGGATTTTTCTTATAGTTGTTATTGCTTTACCTCACTTTATATTACCCCTCTCTTGCTTCTTCGGAGAGGGTGGATGGGGCGCAGAAGGATGGGGGTAGCAGATAATTCGTTGTTTTACAATCAACACAACCCAGCCCCATTAACTTGAACAAAATTATTTGTGATTATCACGGAAACACAGAAATGAAATGATGAATATTTCATGTTTTTTTGGGGGGAGTCTAATCTCAATCTATTCTATTTTTCTCTTTTTCTTCTTAGGTGTAGATCTTTATTTATGGAATCTTGTTCTTGTTTGTTAGATTTGGTTTTTGCTTTAAGCACAAAAGACCATTGTCACAGCAGGGGAATGAAACACAGATGAACAAAAATAGCAGAATGAAAAAAAGTACAAACAAAATGAAAAAGATGGATGGAAAGTGAAACGTTGAAAGTCAGGATGAAATTGTTAAGACAAAGAGTTCTAAGACACACTTTTAAAACTTCAAACTTGTCTTCTTTTCTTAGTTTGGGTAAAGAGAAGTACATTGACACCACAACAGGTCATTTAGAACTTGAAAGAGCAAGATAGACAGATAAAAACATCAGAGTGAAAGCTTTCCAACAGTATGGCCATGTGGATGCAAAACTCTTACTTAAAGCTAGCTGGTAGGATGGTCTGGAACAGACACCATGGGTGAGAGTTTGTAAGAGAAAGTCAGAGAGTGAGAGAGTCAGTGAGAGAGAGAGTGTGAGACAGAGAGAGAGACAGAGAGACAGAGAGAGAGACAGACAGACAGGCAGACAGACAGACAGACAGACAGACAGACAGACAGACAGACAGACAGACAGACAGACAGACGCTTTGCTCACACACCCACACACCACACATACTGAAAGAGGAGCAGTGTTCAGTAAAATTATCCTAAATGCTAAACATTATCCCCAATTCATTATATTGAAACACGTTAAACATCATTCCTTTAATAGGCACAAGAAATCTCTTGACTGTTGAGAAGATTTAGAAAAGGTGCAATTATTGAAGTTAAGTACACAGCATTCCGAATGTTAATACCGTTAGCTAGATTGGATTTCCCAGGAAAACTAGCATTAAAATCTAAACAAATATCAGGAAAATCCAATTTTCAGATACTATTCATCTGTGAACTTAATGAGAAGAAAATGAACCCGGGTACATCCATTTAGTCCCACTCATGCTCACAAAAGGTGGAGTTTTAGTCAGAGGAGTTTCTCAGGGCAGACAAGATGTAGCTATTTAGCTCATCAAAAAAAATAAAATATTTAAAGAAATAAATAAACGAATAAATACATTAATTAATTAATGAATTAATAATTCACTCAGTGTTTCCTCGTGCTGTTATTATAATTTAAGAATTTGGTGAATTAGACCAAGAAGTGCACACCTTGCCATGAATAAACAACCTAGGTGTAGAATTTGACAATGTCCATAATACTAGAGTGTACACTAAACAACATGAAACAGAAAACTTGCTACACACTTATTATATATTTATATATACATATATATATAATGTATTATATATATACATATCTGTGGGTGTGTCTGCGTATACTTCTAATAAATGAATCAATGTGTGCATGTGTGAGTGTGCGTGTGAGTGTGTGTGTGTGTGTGTGTGTGTGTGTGTGTGTGTGTGTGTGTGTGTGTGAGAGAGAGTATACATCATACATACACACATATGTATAAATATATCTACATACACACATATGCTAACAATATTCACTGCCGTTTCATTCCAGCAACACTATAGAGCTCTTGCAACAAAACACTGAACTATCTCCAAAAAACATAAATTTAAAAACACTCAATATTGTGGATGCATGCAAGACCGTCAACTTAAAACTGGAAATGAGACACAATTTGTCCTGTCATCAAAAGGAAACCATTGAAACAACTTAAAGTTGAAAAGAAAAAGAAAACGAGTCAAAGGCAACGCTGTCGTATGAGAATACATTGCTGTTAATACAGCGCATTCAATTGTTTTGGGTTTTTTTGGGTGCTTTTAAAAATGTATTATTATGCTTTTGAATAAAAAATTCTATGTCCACAAAAAAGTAACAAATACTCAAAAAGTCTTGCACAGAACCAACAGAAGAGACGAACATGCAGGGCCTCCAAATCCAGAAAACAGAGGACATTTTATTATATCCCACTGACACCCAAAAAACGACAGCTTTTACAGTTTACAAACACTGGACAAGGTAGCTTGAACACAGACTCACTCCTACTCTAATAACAAACAGTACAAGACCAGTCTGTAAGATCATATTAATAAGTTAATGTCTTCAGAGCAAGGAGGAACTCTTCAAAAACAGCAAATTAAAGTTATTGTTCTTCCCCTCCTCACAACTGTTTGCAAACATCGAAACAACATCAGAAGTAAGATTTTTTAATGAATTTATACTAACTTCACATAGGAATTACTTTTAAAAATCCAAAGTGTCCGGACATTTGAAAAAGAGAAACAGACAATCTGCAAGGGTTATTTCCCGATAGCATTTTTTTCTTTAAACAGTACAAAGTGGTGCAGGAAATATGTATTTCCGTAAGCAAATCTTTCCTCCTGATATTAAAACAAATGTAGTTTGATTCTGAATTTATATCTCTAGCCTTATCATAAGAAAAATTGAACTCTCCCCCCCCCCCTCTCTTTCACCCACTAATTTTACTCTCATACCTAATTCTGTTCTTCAATAACTTCAAAATGATTACAAACTATTCAGTTATGCCAGAGCACAGGTTATGTGGGTGTGAGTGAGAGACAGTGAGGAAGAGACAAGAGAGACAGACAGAGAAAAAAAAAGAAAGAAAAAGAAAAGGAAAGGTGGTCTCTAAGTTTGCTTTTCCCAACACCATTTTTAAAACAGTGGAAACTCTCTAAGTTTACAGAAGAAAAAAGTAAAGAAATACGATGCTCTAAAGAAGAAAATATGAAATTGACACATCACATTGAGGCCTTAGACAGTTACTGAGCAACAATAATATGTGTCATGGCGCGGTGGAATCAGGCTCTCGTCAATTTTTGGGCATGTGCAGTTATTGGTATTATCTTAAAGCTTGTTCATTTGTCTTGCTTTGGATTTAAAAAAATATCCATTTGTCTTGAATACAAGTTGTGAGGCATTTGCGAATGAAGGAAGTGAGGGTCACCTGGTATCAGAGATAAAATTGAGAAAATGGCCGCCAAAGATTGGTTATTTCCTTAGCTTAAGAGTTGGTGGAAACTGAAAATTTACATTTTTTGTGCATTTAATCAACGTTTTTCAGTAAAGTCCACACAGAAAGTGTTTTTTAATGGGCATGAAAGGTGTTGAGCCAAAAAAATAAATTCGATAAAAATTCACAAACCTGCGAAAAAAGCCAGTTTCTTAACTTCGATTATTTTGTAGAGAGCCTGATTTCACCACGCTGCCTCACATGTGTGTTTTATAAGAACCAACAATCGATAAGAACACACCATAATAATTCTAAACAAGAAATAATATATTTATATACCAAAAATAAAACAGAAAAAGCGAAACAAAGAGGCGCAGAAATTTTGATTGAAAATGTGGGAGCTCTCGACAAAGAATACTGAGATCTTGAAACAACATAGTCCCTACACAACAAAAAGACCCCTGGAAAGAGAGAGACGGTAAAAAAAAAAAAAAAGAAAAAGAAAAAAAGAAAACACAGACAGGACTTTGCGTGAGTTACCATAATCTTTGTGTGAATTACCATAGTCTCTGTCCCATATCACATTGCCTCCATCAATCACATTCTCTGAAAGAGACAGGTGGCAGGGGATGTTGGTGATGGTGATGATGATGACGACAGTAATAATGATCATGATAATTCAGGGCTGCCTACCTCAAAGTTCCCATTTCAGGAAAATTCAGGTTCAGTTTCAGGTATTTTGAGCATCAATCAGGTAGTACAAAGACAAAGAATTTTTAAAAGATGATCGTTGCTCCGTTACACGTAGGTGGGGTCTTCCTTTTTGTGATACATGTATCGGGAAATTATATTTTTGAAAATTGATGTGTGTGTGTGTGTGAGTGAGAGAGACAGACAGACAGACAGACAGACAGACAGACAGACAGACAGACAGACAGACAGATAGACAGACAGACAGACAGACAGAGAAAGAGAGAGAGAGAAAGAGAGAGAGAGAGAGAGAGAGAGAGAGAGAGAGAGAGAGAGAGCATGTGTGAGAGCACTCGAGCGTGCAGGCCCTCGCTTGTGTTTGTGTGGGTGTGGGTGTGGGTGTGTGTGTGTGTGAGTGTGTGTGTGTGTGTGTATGTGGGAGGGGGGTGTTGTTTGAGTGTGCATAAGTGAAGGTGAGCAGTCTGTATTGATTGTGGAATTGAGAGCAGGGTGACTGCCACACTGACTTCAAAATCCAGTCTGCACCATAGAAACTATATAATACTAAAACATATTTTCTGACAACATACCAATAGGGCATTGATAAGTCTACGACTTAGGTATGAGAGACAATTTTAATTAGCTTTGCCTCTGGAAAGGATTCAACTGTCAAAACCATGTTTGAATTTCAGCACTCACAGATTTTTTTAAAAAGACAAAACTTCTGTTTTTTTAAAACTGTATAGATAGGCTAACGACACAGCAAAAAGTGACATTAGATGAGAACATGTACCGAGAGCCAGAGCTGGAAGGACTATGATAATGTTGGGGTGTAGTGAAGCTGAAAATCTGGCAATCACAGCATCATGGACTAAATATCAATTTTTTAAAATTGCCATGTCAAAGAACCAGTTTTAATCAGTAACAAGCTGTCATGATGTATAGGTATCCAACATAGGGGTGCTATGCCACACAGCGCTCTTATCATAAAATTTAGTTTCCATATCTTATCCTCCAGTATCGCGTCAGGCAGTTCAAGTTCAAATGCATCTTAAAAAAGATGTGTTTCTTTCTTCTTCCAGCATAGCCCCCCCCCCCCCCCCCCCCCAAGAAAAGTCCAGAAGGGGGGGGGGGGTGTCCCTGGAACACATTTGGGGGGGGGGGGGGGGGGGTGTCCCTGGAACACATTGAAATTTAGAGCTGGGGGGGGGTGGGGTGTCCCTGGAACACATTGAAATTTAGAGCTTTCCAGGGGTTAAAAATAGCATTTTCCCATTGCTACTATTCAATTTGTCATTGCAGCATTGACAGAGTAGGCAAATCACCAAACCTGTACTCTAACTTGCTGTACTATCTTTTTCTTCAACGAATGGAGTTGATATGACGATACAGCAAGTACGGAACTTTCGGAATGTACAGATTTCAGCAAAAACAGATGCAGTGCAGAATGGGCTTTTTTTTTCATTTACTCTCGGTGCCCATTGCAATTCAAATCCGGTAGTTTTGACACCTTTATCAGTATGACAGTAGAACAGGTCCAAAATCAGTAACTAGTGGAAAAATCGGTTGATTTAGGCAGCCCTGTTATAATGATGATGATAAAGATAGCAGAGGTGGTGGTGATGATAAATGTGGAAATGGCACTGGTGAAAATAGAAATTACAATCAGAATAGCCCAACAAGATTAGAAATGGAAAAGGAACTGAAAACACAATATAATGATGACAAAGTTGAGGGTAGGGGTGTTGTTTGTAAATATTGTTTTGTTCTGGGGTGGGGTGTTTTTTTTTGGGGGGGGGGGATGTAACAAGGTGCTCAGAGCAAATTACATGTAAGTATGATCATTTAAACAGTTGTGACACACCGAAAGATTACTACAATAAGTTATTCCTAATAAAATGTAACATGTGATGATGGCTGTAGCAATTGACTGCCTCAGAGAGCTTTTAACTTTTGTCTTTCTGAAACAAAATTAAATGTGCAGACGTTTACAAGGTATGCGGAACTGCAAAAAGAACCAGCGATTGATACTTTTTTTCCACCGGAAAAAAATAATAAACTTACAAAAAGTAAAAAGTGTTATAGTTCTTCTGAGCTAGGGCCTGTATAACACACACATGGACATTAATGGTCTGCTGACCCACCTGGCATGCCATACTGTTCTACTTGAAAATGATCTATCGGACGCACCACATTAACAAAGCACACAAAGTGCAAAACTCTTCAAATCGATCACAATTATTTACAAGTTGAATATAAGTTGGAAACTGAATTTCCAACAGTAGATAATACAAAATAAAGAGCACAGATTAAGTTAGGAGAGCTATTGCTGTTTCTATTTGTACTATTAAAATAAGCAAAGTACAATCAACGTGTAAATTAGTGAAAAATTAAGAAATTGAAAATATACAAATCGCTACACTCTACGGCAGAATATACAGATACTAAGACTGTTTCCTGAGGGAGAGACAAGTATGACGGTACAATGATCGTCATAAGACTGACAAAACATTAAGACAAACAAAAGAACAATTTTAAAAAACAACTATATAAAAGAATCAGGAGACAAAGATGGTTGTAAAAAACACACTACTGGGGCGAGTAACGATTTTTGCCTCAGTGCTGGACCTACCAGCTTTCAAAGGAAACCTCAATGACAACAATAACACATAACAGCCCTCATCTATTCATTTGAACATCGTTACTGCACAAACCTATAACCTGGCATCTGTGGTATAGTAGTTTGGCACTTTGCCATAACACAGAAGACATGAGTTTGATTTCTATACGGATGAGGTTTTAGGGGGCTCTCCTGGCCTAGAGGTTAAGATGTTCGCTTCTCATTCCATAGGTCCCTGGTTCAAATCCGGATAGCAACGGAAAATTTTCTTCTCTAAAATGTTCTCCTTTTACATCCTTTCCTGCTCCCACCCCCTCACCTCCTTTGCCCCCTCCTCTGGGCTCCTGACTCTTTCTGCAGCCTTTCTACTGCTTCTCCTCGGCTCCTTCTTAGGGCTGTCTTTCAGCCACACCCTTGACCTTATGGTAGGTAAGCTCTACACTTAGCCTTCTCGGACAAAGGCAAAAAATCTCGGAGGTCTTGTGTGCAAGTTGCACATGTTAAAGATCCCTTGGTGGTTTAAAATCTATAAGAGTAGGCTTCGGGCACCACCCAGGCAAATTTCAAAATTTCCTTCCAGCTGAAAATGTTCAGTGTGTCCCGCACGCTCATATGACCTAATGTAGTAGCGAGCGCCATAAAAAACTCCCCCACCCCTCCTCCCAAAAAAAAGAGGGTTTCAATTCAGTATCTCCATCTTTCTGCTGGGAGAAAGCCGAAGTTGGCCCTTTCATGCATGGCCAAAGCAGCAAATCTCGTCGATGATCTAAATAGCATCTACAGTGGCATAAAACCTCTGCAATTGATTTGCTTAACGAACTTACAAACAGGCCCACAAAGGCAAAAACTGTGGTATCATATATCTCCCATTGATTTTATCAAAGCAAGAAGTTATTTAATTAAACTTATCGATCCCCTCAATATCCACTATGTTCATTTGTTGGCGTGAAAAGAGGAGGATAGAATAATCTAAGAAAGAACAAACTCAGAAAATAAGAAATGACAAAACGCCTTGCTTTTGCCAAAATGAAAACACTGCTGATTGAGTCTCATTGACAACACAGGCCATCCCCCACCCTATTGGCCGCTGGATCGGAAAAGTAAAGTAATGGCCGTTGGTTCAGAAAAGTATCCCCCACCCTAACCTTTAAAAAAACCCTCTAAAATACTCAAATGAGAAAATACATGCACTTTCATCGACTGAAATATAGCTCAGATTTCAGAGGAATTAAAACAAAACCAAACTGAACAGCTGTTCCTAGGGACCAGCAAACCTGAACCTCTAGAGTCTTCTTTTTTTTACCTTGCATCAGCAACATAATATCGGAACCAATTTCTATCCCTGTGCATAGCAGGAAGAGAAACACTGACAAAAAAAGGAGCTTGACCATGAAGAGAGATAAGAGACCAAGCACGGAGTGCACATAAACACAAACACGCTTCGCCATCCTTTAAAGACTTGTGCTCAAAGACACAGAGGCAGCAGCGGCCACGGAACAGCAGAAACTAGAGTGAGATAAATAGAGCCGCAAGTCTCGTAGCATTGAGAGAGAGTAGCAACGTGCAGTTTGTAAATAAGGCTGGAGAAGTGTGCCTGAAAATACAAGCGCCCAGAAACCCCCAAAAAAGAAAAAAACTTTTTAAAACTGCAGTTGTTTGTAATTGCACCGAAAGTGTGTGATTGGCTAAGCATATATATATGGTGTATATGTTTTATGATATACAACAAAAGTGAGATCAGCAAAGAATGATTTTACAGGCAAAGGAAGAGGCAATATAAAGTGTTAATGAAAGTGGAAATGTGTGTGTGTGTGTGTGTG